TAAGGGATATTATACTGAATGTTCTCTTGACTACAGTTGCAGTCTGAATTCAGTTCCTTCATTAAAATGTTTTAGGACCATCCTTTGCTATTAGCATTCTAAATACTGAACAATACTATAACCCAAAGTAGGATTGATTGTAGGAACCAATTTTAACTCTGTGCTGTCTATCTCATAAATTGAATGTACAGGCTGACATTGCTCAGATTTGTAATATTCTATTTCGGGAAGCTGGTGTTTTTTAACTATGTCCTTTACTCCTAGCTAGTATTTTCTTAAAGCAAAATACTAAAATGGAACTGCATCTCAGGGGTAATATTTACTGAGAAGAGTTATCTGCAGTTTGTGGTTTTTAAAAGCTTCATTTTAACTCTATTTTTTATTTGTTTTTTCCACCCTATAATTAATGTGTACTACTTATGCAATAACACAATTAAACACGCTTTAAAACTGAGCTCACTGAAAACGCAGTTTTTTTAGTTGCCTGCTATACTCATGAACTGACTTAAAAGTTTTAGGTTTTTTCCAGTACAATTAAAAATGCGTCACTGGACTTGTATAACACATTATACAATAACTAGAGGCCTGATGCATGAAGATTCGTGCAAGAATGAGCCATCTTCCCCTGGCTGCCGGCACCGCCTTCACTCCTGTCAGAGCTGCCTTTCTGCCTTCCCATGCTGCCCAGAGGCCTGCAGCCATGCAGAATGCCTGCACTGTCACCATGGCAAGTATCCCGCCTCCAGCCACATGGTGCCTGCATATGCAAATTAACCCATCTTTGCTGGGTTAATTTGCATACTCTCTCCTGATTGGCTGGTGGACATCACAAAGGTATGGTCAATTTGCACCTTTCTCCTTTATTAGTATAAATGTGTTAAATTAACAAATGCCTAGAATTTTAAGTATTTATTTAGTTGCATTAGGTACAATTTCATTTCTACGGTAAGCTATCAACTGGTAACCTTTTAACATGAAGATTTTGTTTTCTTGAATTTCCCTATATATAATTTTTAAAATTTATCTTTATTGTTTAAAGTATTACAGATGCCCCATTTTCCCCCCCATTGACCTCCTCCTCCTCTTGGCTCCTGTCCCCTCCCCAGGCCTTCACCCTGCTATGGTCAATGTCCATGGGTTATGCATATAAGTTCTTTGATCGCTTTCCTCCTGAATTCCCCTACATTTTTATTTTTTTTTAAATTATTGATTTTTTACAGAGAGGAAGGAAGAGAGAGCTAGAAATGTCGATGAGAGAGAAACATCGACCAGCTGTCTCTTGCACACCCCCACTGGGGATGTGCCCGCAACCAAGGTACATGCCCGTGACCAGAATCGAACCTGGGACCTTTCAGTCCGCAGACCACTCTACCACTGAGCCAAATCGGTTTCAGCTCCTTACATTTTTAATAGTGCTTTTCAGCCATCTAAATCTCTTCCTTAGAGAAACACTGCAATCTGCTTCCCTAAATTAAATAGGAATTAACTGCCTCTTAGTAGTTTAGAAAGGACCTCACTAACCAAATGCAAAGTGTGTAACTTGATTGGATGCTACTGAACAAACAAGTGTGAAAAGGTATTGAGACAATAGGGAAATTCAAACTGTCTAATGTTCAATGATGGTAATATGATGTTCAGTAATGGGTCAATGGTATTGTAGATGTTTTTGAAAATTATCTCATTTCAGATTTAAAGTAGAGATAAAATGGTAATAAATCTAGCAAGGGTAAGGGGGTCATAGATTAAATAATATTAGCCATATGTCAATAAATGTTCAAGCGAGGTGAATAGTATATTAGGGTTGATTGTACTAGTACCTCTACTTTTGTGTGTTTGAAATTTCCATAATAAAGTTTTTTAAATTAGAAAGTTGAAAAAATAAAAGATTCCAAATTTGATTGGCCTGACTCACACAATAGCTGAATTTTCTCAGGAGGCGTCTTGAGGAATTCTTCAGGGCTATTTGCTACTAGTTTTCCATCAGAGTCTGAAGTTGTTGCTTTGCCCTCTCAGTATAAGTAAGGGCTGCAAGACATGGGTTTAGAGGCATAAACATTTTCTCCCAGGTACTTCCCAAAGTAGCTGATTTAGAAATTAACGGTGATCCCAGAAACTTCTTCTAATTGGGGGATTTCAGTTGCTATTTTTTTTTTTTAGGATTATTTTATGGTAGAAAATATATTGAAGAACAAATCAGATAACTTTTTGTTTTATTCACAGGATTAAATATCACCAATTAACTTCTTGATGCAGAGAAATGGGAACTGTATGTATTTACTTTATTTGAAATAGGGAGAGGGGGAGAGGAGAAACAATGACTTGTTATTCTACTTACGTGTGCATTCATTGGTTGCTTCTTATATGTGCCCCGGTCAGGCTGAAATCTTGGCATAGGTAGACAATGCTCTAACCCACTGCACAGCTTGGCCAGGGCAAGAATTGGGAACTTTTAAACATTGCATTTAACAGAATAAGGGAACCCAATCTGAAAAAGCCTAAAACTCCCAGTTAACTAGTTACTGAGGAGAAAAGGACAGGGTAAATAATCAAGGTCACAAGCTGAGTTTGCTGAGTGGGGTGATGTCTTCCCCATGTGGGTACATCCCTCCACAGTATGCTTTCACGAGTAAGGTAGGAATAAGCCACGCCTTTGATTTAACGTTTATAAATTGATATAGCAAGAAAAGTGCATCTGAAATAATTCACATACGCACACATATTACAATCTTAGAGTGTTCTTTATAGGTGTAGACCAACACAAGCTGGAAAAAAAAAATCATTATTGCTTTTTTTTTTTTTTTTTTGCTTCTTTTCTGCCTGTTCCACTGAATTACGGAAGGTAAAAATAACGCTGGAAAAGGCCTCCACCCTACACTCATCCATCCTTCCTTCCTCGCACCTCGATCTAGGTTCTGAGGGAGTGATCTCAGCATTCTGCGCCACTGCCTGCCTCACTCCTGGTTTCCCTGCCTGCAGATCCCTTCCCAGGCTGGATAAAATCCACCGGTGGGTTCAGAGTCTACCCCAGTCCATGGAAAACAAGGCATCTTGCAGTATTTGGGGCCTCCAACGAAGACCCGATTCAAATCTATGCGTAAACAAAAACAGCAGGGCTCAGATAAAAAGCAATCCATTTCTGTTCTTAACTGGGACTGTGTGTGTGTGTGTGTGTGTGTGTGTTACAAGACCCATCTGCTTAATCTGAACGATGCGAAGAACGACAATAAAATCCCTCCCGGGTTCCCAGGAATACAGTACACCGTACTGCCTAGGTTGACTAATATCCAAGCGCTCAGAACCTCCAGGATCACAGGATATAACGCGAGACAATCTCCACGTCCTTGTGCAATAGAAACATATATGTTAGTACATAAATATAAACAATATATAGTTTAGTTTATGTATATAGTTCCCAAGACGTCGAGTTCCCTGGAGTGCTTTGTGGGGAGGTGCAATTTAAACCTTTCTCTAGATCAGTGTGTCCCAAACTTCTCTCACGGTGAGAATCACCTGGTGGAGTTAAACTACAGATTCCTGAGTCCCAACTAAGTGCTCAACTAGAACTTTTGGGAACATAAGCATACAATTTTACCTGTACGTTCCCAAAAGTTCTAGTTGAGCGCTTGTTAGTTGGGATTCGGGAATCTGTAGTTTAACAGCTCCACCAGGTGATTCTCACCGTGAGAGAAGTTCGGGACACACTGATCCAGAGAAAGGTCTGCGTTCTCCTTCCTCGCCGATGCTTCCTTACTATTAACACCTGCTCGCCAGGCGCTCAGGAGGTCCCCGTCCAGATGGTGCCACCGCTGCGGAGCCCCACGGACCTCGCCCCCACGTGTTCCCGTCGCCCTCGGCGGCCCTGCTCCCGGGAGGGGCGGCCAGGGCACAGACTCCCCCTGCGGGCACCGGCCGCGCCGCCGGCCCCGCGGCCACCCGCGGGCGTCCCTCCGGGGAGGAGACGCGCTTTGCGATGCACAGAAGCCGAACGCTGGCCGCGCCGCGCGTGGGTCCGCTTCCTGGCGAGGTGCCCCCGCGCCCGCCGCTCCGGGTGAAGACTCAGGAGAAGATAACATGTAAGGCCGCCTGTGGTCAGGCCCGCTCCTGGGCAGAGGCAGCCGGGCTGCGCGGCACCCGCAGGGCACACGGGCGCCGGCGGACGCAGGCGCGCGGAGGCCGGAGGGAGATTTAAAAGGTGCGCGGCCCGGAAGTGCAGGGCCGCTCCGGGGAGCCCGTGGGCGCGCCGCCGACCTCCGCGGCCGGAGGCGTCCCGCTGCCCCGCGAGCCGGGGCCGGTGGAGGCGCGGAGACCAGCGCCCGGCCGGCGGCGGCGGCGGCGGCGCAGCAGCCCCGGAGGGAGAGCACCGTCGCGGCGCATGCCGGGAGCGCGCGCGCTGCACGCCGGGGCGCGTAGTCCCCTCGGCCTCACTCCCTCCAGGTTGCAGCGAAACGCGGCCGCCTGCTGCTCCTTTTAAGGCTCGCTCGGGGCCGCGCTAGACCCGCCGACGGGGAAGAAGTCGGTAATGGCGGGCCGAGGGACCCGGGCCGTGTTTTCCCCCCGCGCCCTGTGGGAAGGAGGCGAGGCTGGGGTGTCCCCCCCCGCCCCCCCTACCTTTGCCCGCAAGTTCCTTTCCGAGCCGGGGCGGAAAGGTGGACCGGCCCGGCGTCGTTCCCCTTTAAGAGGGGGCGGGGCGAGGCCTGCCGTTTGGCCGGGCCGAGAGCTGACGGGCCAATGGGCGGGCCGGCGGCGGGAAGGCGGGAGAATGCGAACCCTCGGGTTGGGCGGTAGAGGCGGGCCCCCGGCCTTATGAGGAGGGAGCCCTGCGCAGGCGCAGTGGCGGCCGCCGCGGAGGGGCGGGGACAGGGCCAGCGAGGGACGCTCCGACAGGCTCCGAGGGCGATTGGGGAGGAGAAGGGGCAGCGGAGGGCTTGTCATGGGGATCCGAGCCGCGGGACGGCATTGGTAGCAGCCGGGGACGCCGAGGGGGAGGGGGGCAGGAAGTGTCACCGCCGGAGACCCCTGCGCCCGCCCGCCCGCCCGCCCCGCTGCGGGGATCCCCGCTGCTCGGGTCCCGCGGAGGGCGGGCGGACAAAAAAGGAGGGAGCCCTCCCTGATCGCCCCGCCCCTGGGCTGGTTACCGCGGGGGCGGGGAGTGAGGGCTGCTGTTGGGGGGAGTGGAGATCGGGGGACTCGGCGGTGCCCTCCGAGCGGCCGGCGGCCGGGGTCCCCGCGGCGCGGGCTGCGGAGCAGGGTGGCCGCGGCGGCCGCGGCTGTTGCATGCGCGGCTGCTGGATGCGGAGGCGGCGGCGGCGGCGGCGAGCGGCGGCGGCGGCGGCGGCGGCGGCGGCAGGATGTTAGGGCAGCAGCAGCAGCAGCAGCCGCTCTACTCGTCGGCGGCGATCCTGAGCGGGGAGCGCAGCCGGCTGCTCACCTGCTACGTGCAGGACTACCTGGAGTGCGTGGAGTCGCTGCCCCACGACATGCAGCGGAACGTGTCGGTGCTGCGGGAGCTGGACAACAAATATCAAGGTAGGTAGGGGCCCGCGGGCTGCCTGTGCGGGTCCCCCCGCCCTCGGGCCCGCGGGGCCAGCCCGAGGAAGTGACACTTTCCTTTCCCCCGTGACAGTCTCCTCGGGCGCACGGCGGGGGTCTGAAGTGTGCGGCCGGGGGACCGGGGAGAGGGGCGGGCGGGCGGGAGGCCGGGCTCGCGGCCCTCCCTCCCTGCCTTCCCCTCCCGCGATCGGCGAGCACTTCGGTGGGGGCTCCGGGGTGGGGGTGGGGGCTGCTCGTCGCCCACGCTGCAGACCCGGCGGCTGCAGCTGGCGTGGAGAGGGGATCAGCCATTTTAAGTAGCGAGCATTTGTTCTGGCTCCGGCTAGCCCCGCGCCGCGCCGCCAGCCTCCTGCCGGGCCAGGGAGCGTGCAGCCGGCCTGGCGGCGGCGGGGCTGCAGGGGGTGAGTGGCCCGGCTCCCCCGCTGGTCTCCGGGCCTGGCTTCCCCCAGCCCCTGGGAGCAGATGCATTGGAACGTGCGGGGGGAGGGGGCGAGAGGGGGCCCCGGCGAAGGCGGACGGACTCGGGGGAAGTCCCTCCCTTCTACCCTCCGCTCCCCGCGCCGGGCTCGGCCATCGGGGCGCCCGCCCTCCCCGGCCGCCGCGGGGAGAGCCCCGGGCAGCGGCCCGGCCCGGGCCCCATGGCTGGAAGGGGAGGGGTCCCCGCGCCGGGGAAGGAGGAAGAGGGGTGTGTGTGGCGGGGAGGGCCCGGCGCCGGGGGCGTGGCCTGGTGACGTAGGCAGGGGCGGGGCGCACGCGCACTCCCGCCCGCCCCGAAGATGGCCGGCTGCTGGGCGGCCGGGGCGGGCGTGCGGGGCGTCCGCTCGCCCCCGGGAGAGCCATGGTCGGTGTGCAGGACGGGTCTGTGGCCGTTTTCCGACTCCTCCCCGCTGCCCTTCGGCTGTGACGGGGCCGGTCAGCCGCGGGGAGCGCCGCTGACCCCGGCTCTGCGTAGGTTCCGGTCCTCGTCCCACTTCCGGGTCTCGGGAGGAAGTGGGTGGTTGACCCGGCAACCGCCCGGCGTCCCTTAGCCCCGCCCTCCTCCGCGGGGTGTAAGTGAGGAGGCTGAGGCCGCCCCGTGTGCTCAGCCCGCCGGGCGCTAGCACAGGGGTCCGGCCGCACAGGAGGATCGTAGCGGTCCGCGTTTGTTAACCGCCCCTGTTTGATTGTTAGATAGTCTGTCTCTGGGAGGCGGGACGCTCCACGGGGCCGCTGTGCTCCTGGCCCCGGTCAGGGAGCAGACCGGGGACGTAGCGCGGAAACAGCCAAGCGGACATTAGAGAGGGAACTTGTGGGACCCAGTCCCTGTTTTTCTAAATCTAAGGATTTGGTCTCACAGGAACCCTCTTCCGGGCCGGCGTTTTCAGGCCCTTAGCATGTTAACATCCTGAAGTGCCTCTGTTTCAGAAACTGTCATTTATTTCCGTCTTCTGAGCCCGCAGTTGATCGGTGCATGTCAGGGGGAAGGGAATTGATGCTGATTGCTGACTGTGTGTCTGTCCTACGCTGTGTCAAGTCTAGAAGGTTATCTCATTTAATCCTCACAATAACCTTATGAAGTAAAAATGTACGGATGAATTAAGAAGTGCAGGGAGTTTAAGTAACTTGTTCGATTGGGTGGGGAGTGTTTTGACTCCATAGCCTGGCTCCTTTGGGTGCCAGGCTTGCTTTGAACTATTTTAACTTTTTGTTCTTTTTTAAAAGAAAAACTCTCCAGAGGTGTTTTTGACAGACTCGGAGCACACATACACAGTACATACATTGTAACCTAAAAATGATACATACCTGCTTAAGGGTTGTATGTTCAGCGTTTTTAATTTTTCTGATAACACCGTAATAAAGGTTTTCACATCGCTATAAAAACGCATCACCTACATTTGCCTTCACAAAAGTGAAGCTATTTCTTTTCATTGTGTTTGGGGAGGGACAATTGTTACAGGGAAATCTTCCATCTTGGCCATCTGGAATTGTCCTAAGTAGCTCTGTTAACATGAGAAACAGTATTAGGCCTTAAGTGATTGAGAGATCTTAAAAATTCTCAGCTGTTATTAGTTTCAAGATTAATAAAAAAACGATCTAGTTTTGACCTAGCCCAGTGGTCGGCAAACTCATTAGTCAACAGAGCCAAATATCGACAGCACAACGATTGAAATTTCTTTTGGGAGCCAAATATTTTAAACTTAAACTATAGGTAGGTACGTTGTTATTAACTTAATTAGGGTGCTCCTAAGCTGGCCTTTGCTAAAAACTCAAGGGGCCAAAGAGCCACTTGTGGCTCTTGAGCTGCAGTTTGCTGACCACTGCCCTAGCCAGTTTGGTTCGGAGGATGGAGTGTGGGCCTGAGGACTGAAGCGTCTCAGGTTGATTCTGGTCAAAGGCACATGCCTGGGTTGCAGGCTCAGAGCCCAGTGAGGGCATGCAGGAGGCAGCCAATCAATGGTTATCTTTAATCATTTGTGTTTCTCGCTCTCCCTCTCTGAAATCAATAAAAATATTTTTTAAATAAATAAAAATGATTAAGTTTTCACTTACATATGCCTATTGAGTTCAGCTTTCTGTTTTACATTTATTAGCCTTAAATACTTGTGTTTATTTTTTTTAGTTTATTTGCTAGTTTTCAAGTATTTTCTGATTCTGGATCTAATACTGTAATATTTAGTGATATGAATTATGAAAGCAGTCAAAGAAATTTCCTAGCTGAGACACTTTATTAGAAATTACTCATGAACCTTAAAAGTAACCTAAGAAAGTTAAAAATAGAGAAATGAAGAAAATATTATGATAATGAAATATTTATTATGGGATTTGATTGTTAGAGAACCTCAATTTTTGTTCCAGTATTTTTGTTCATAATTTCCTGGGTAAATAAAATTTAATACTTAATTTCAAGTGTCTTCCTTTTAGTGTAGTAGAAAATGCTGACGTGGGGAAGCCAGACATACAGATTTAGAAAGTTGAAAGTCTGCAGTTGTTGCCCTACTGGGTTTGGCTCAGTGGATAGAGCATTGGCCTATGGACCAAAGGGTCCCAGGTTCAATTCAGTCAAGGGCACATACCTTGATTGCAGGCTCCTCTCTGCCATGGAACCACAGTCACGGCTCATGCTGGAGGCAATCAATCGATGTATTTCTCTCACATCGATGTTTCTCTCTGTCTCTCCCTCTCTTCCACTCTCCCTAACAGTCAATGAATATCCTCAGGTGAGGTTTGACCAAAAACAAAGTCTGGGGTTGTTGTCTCTTGAGCTTCATTTTCTGTACGTATGGAAGTGATGGCTTCCTCGTGGGGTTGCTGTGGGGATTAAATGAGAAATTTTTTATCACATAGACATGTCTCAGTATTAGTTTCTTTCATTTCATAATTAAGGTGTCTTAAAAATGAGAATTTTTATCTCATGTATAGTTCTATGTGTTGGTATGCTATAATTAGCTTCCAAGTCCTGATTATTAGATTATTGGATAAATATTTGAAATAAGGTTACCTTTTATTTTATTTATTTTTTAGTATATTTTTATTGATTTCAAATAGGAAGGAAGAGGAAGAGAAAAATAGAAACATAAATGATGAGAGAGAATCATTGATCAGCTGCCTCTTGCACACCCCCTACTGGGGATCAAGCCCACAACCGGTCATGTGCCCTTGACCAGAATCAACCCCAGGACCCTTTGGCCCCACACCTCCGCTCTATCTGCTGAACCAAACCGGTCAGGGCTCCTCTTTATTTTTTAACCTTCAAAGTTTGTGTGTGTGTTTTTTGGGAGGGAATATATACCTTATTTTTCCTGGAGGAAAATTAAGTTCTTAAGAAACCAGCTTACATACCTACCTGGGTAAATGGGCTAGATAAGACCTTTGTTTCGAAGTATGCTGTGCAGCTGTGAGTACCTCAGATGTGTAGAGTCACGTTGTCAAGTATGTAGGTTAGCACTGTCCCTCCATTGTGAGTGCCTACCGTTTCCAGGGAGGAGTTCCTTGCTGTGGATCACGTTGCTTGCAGACAGCCCCACTGTGTGTATTTCACTCCTCTGACATTTCTGTTCTTATCAGTAGAATAATAATATTGGGATCTAAAACAGTGATCTGCTATGTGGTGTGATAAATTAGTTAATTTTTTGTTGCTCCATCTTTACAAAGACAGAACTCTTTCAAATAGTGTTAAATCTCAGAAGGATTAAAAAAACAAATGAATAAAAACTAATCTGCAAATTTTGGTGATATCTGGAGCTATATTTTTAGTTTTCGTGTACCTTCTAGTGACTCAGCTATTTTCAATTGATTTGAATGTCTTCCAGGCGCTATTCAATAACTAAATCAGCAATTCAAAAAGCTTACATAGAACCAACTGCTGAGTTATCTACAAAAACATAGTGACCCAATGCTGACTTGACTGTAATTCTCTTAATAGCTTGTCAGTTGATGCTAGAACATGCACCTAAACCTACTCTGGAAATAGTTTAGGTTTCAGAATTATCTCTGTGGCAAAATGAACGAGTCATTAAAACTAATACGATGGGAAGCCAAGAGCTACTCCTGTCTGCTTTAAGGGAGTCCAGGGGTGTGATAGGAAATTAAAGGTATAGTGTGTCTCTGGAGTCATGCAAGTCAGTGATAGAACTGTAAATCTTGCAGATGCAATTGGACAGTAATCTGCAGCATAGTTTTGAATTTCTTTAAGTTTTACAGCTAGAGCCTGGCCTGTAAATTTCATATACAGGATTTTTTTTTTTTTGAGATTCAAATTAAGTGTAGACAATATGGCAGTAGGTAAACTGTAAAGTGGTATATAGTGAACTTGACCACACAAAATACTTTTTTTTTTTTAAGTTCTTCTTCGTGGATATTTTTTCCATTGATTCCTAGAGAGTGTGGAAGGGAGAAGAGAGAGATTGAGAGAGAGAGAAACTGGTGTTAGAAAAACATTGATGAGAGAGAGACACGTGGATTGATTGCCTCCCACTTTGTCCCCTACTGGTGCTGGGGAACCTGCAACCGAGGTACCCTAGACTGGGAATCGAACCTGTGATCCTTGGGCTCTCAGGCTGACACATAAAATACTTTTTTTTAAAAATATATATTTTATTGATTTTGTACAGAGAGGAAGGGAGAGAGATAGAGTTAGAAACATCGATGAGAGAGTCATCGATCAGCTGCCTCTTGCACACCCCTTACTGGGGATATGCCCGCAACCAAGGTACATGCTCTTGATTGGAATCGAACCCTGGACCTTTCAGTCCCCAAGCCGACGCTCTATCCATTGAGCCAAACCGGTTTCGGCATAAAATACTTTTAATTATTAGGTAGCCACACATTTAAAAAAAAAATACCTTTTATTGATTTCTGAGAGGAAGGGAGAGGGAGAGAGAGATAGAAACAACAATGATGAGAGAGAATCACTGATTGCTGCCTTCTGCACTCCCCCCCCACTGGGGATCAAGCTCGCAACCTGGGCATGTGCCCTTGACCAGAATCGAACCTGGGACCCTACAGTCCTCAGGACAATGCTCTATCCACTGAACCAGACTGGCTAAGGCATGTTTTGTTTTTAATATTGATTAATGGATATTAGAGTTTTGTGTTCTCTTTTTTATTAGTTTATTTCTAAATATATTTTTGTATTTGATAACACATGGTCTTTGTATGGGAAATAATGTATTTTTTAATGTACACATACTAAAGAGCATGGTCTTATGGTTTGAGTTCATTCTAACTTTTCCAATTCTGTGAAAGATAACTAACTTGAAAAATGCTAATACACAGTAACCTTGTGATTTTTCCTTTTCTTTAGAAACGTTGAAGGAAATTGATGATGTCTATGAAAAATATAAGAAAGAAGATGATTCAAACCAGAAAAAACGCCTACAGCAGCATCTCCAAAGAGCATTAATCAATAGCCAAGAATTGGGAGATGAGAAAATTCAGATTGTCACGCAAATGCTCGAATTGGTGGAAAATCGGGCGAGGCAAATGGAGCTACATTCACAGTGTTTCCAAGATCCTGCTGAAGGTGAACGCGTCTCAGATAAAGCAAAGATGGATGCCAGCCAACCAGAAAGATCTTCACGGAGACCCAGAAGGCAGCGAACCAGTGAGAGCCGTGACTTATGTCACATGACTAACGGCATTGAAGACTGTGATGACCAGCCACCGAAGGAAAAGAAATCCAAGTCCGCCAAGAAAAAGAAACGCTCCAAGGCCAAGCAGGAAAGGGAGACGTCGCCCGTGGAGTTTGCGATCGATCCCAATGAACCTACATACTGTCTGTGTAACCAAGTGTCTTACGGGGAGATGATCGGCTGTGACAATGACCAGTGTCCCATTGAGTGGTTCCACTTCTCGTGTGTGTCACTTACCTATAAACCAAAGGGGAAATGGTATTGCCCAAAGTGCAGGGGGGATAATGAGAAAACCATGGACAAAAGTACTGAAAAGACAAAAAAGGACAGAAGATCGAGGTAGTACAGGCCATCCACATTTTAAAGGGTTATTTGTCTTTTATATAATTCTTGGAGAATTTACTTTCAGAAAATGTTTTAGGGTAAATGCATAAGACTATGCAATAATTTTTAATCATTAGTATTAATGATGTATTAAAAGTTGTTGTACTTTGTCTGTGACCTTAATTTTCTGCACTGTATTACCAAATGTTTTAAACCAGGTGGTCTGTAGGTCACCTGGTGAGAGGAACAGGGCAAGACGGGGAGAGGGTGAGGTGAACATTAGGAAAACTTCACAAGCCATGCCTATTGCATTTTCACTTCAAATGGGATTCTTTTTTTTTTTTTTTAATTGATTTTTTTTTACAGAGAGGAAGGAAGATGGATAGAGAGCTAGAAACATCAATGAGAGAGAAACATTGACCAGCTGCCTCCTGCACACTCCCCACCGGGGATGTGCCTGCAACCAGTGTACATGCCCCTGACCGGATTGAAACCGGGACCTTTCAGTCCACAGACCGATGCTCTATCCACTGAACCAAACCGGTTTTGGCTAAAATGGGATTCTTTGTTCTAGGTTAACGTCAAAGTGTTGCTGGCATTTTTTAAATTCTCCGTGCTTAAAAAATTTTAGATAACAGTTGGAGTTCTCTGCAAGCATTACAGTTATCGTGGGTGATTTAAAATATGAACACTGTATACCATTTAGAGCTTTTCCCGGCTCCACTTATACACACACTTGTTTATCTCTAGTCTTCCTGGAATTTAAGGAATAGAGATAATAACTTGGGATTCCATGTGGAATAATGTGCTCTTTCAGGGGTATTTGCTGCTGTCTTTTCATTTTGATGCACTGTTGGAGGCCCATTTGTAAATGCCTTGCTGCTGCTTCTTAGACACATGCAATCTAATGCTTAATAAGGGATTTAGGTTTTGTTTTCATTGGGATAGGTAAGAGTGAGTGGTTAGAATGCCAAAAATTCTGTCGTTATATTGGTAAAATTGGGGTTATGGAATATGGTTCAAGGTGAGCAATGAAAAAAAAAATCCATCCTATTTAATATTTTCTACGCTGACTCACTGCTGGAATGCCTAGACCCAGGCCTCTCGCTGGGCAAAGGGCATCTACTAGTCTTTAAATATTGCCTTCATGTCAAACAGTCGCTTAAATAGTTTTGCTAGTAGCTGTAGTTCATTGATGTCCCAATCAGTGATTATATATTATTTTAAGTAACTGTGCATTTACTTTCTTAACTTTCTGGTATTGGTGCTGTTTGATGTCTTTGCATTTAATTAGCTAATTATAACAATGCAATTAATAATGCGTTTGTAAACAGTTTTCCAAAATCCTAATATTTGAAGGGTAAGGGATGTATGTTCATATACTCGGGGATTATTTTTGGGGGGAGTTGGGGGGGGTGGGGCAGCAGATTGACTAGTCCTTAAATTTATGTTTAATATACTTTTTATTTCTCATTTCTTCCTAATCTAATTATCTTGATTCTTTTTGATTAACGTGAAAAATTCTGTCCGCTTGTTTGGGAAAAAATTGTTTTCTTCTCTTCTAGCTCTCCTGGGTGACTTTTAGGCCTGTCACTCCACCCAGCTGGTTATTCGTGTGCACGTAATGTGAGGTTGGCTTAAACACCCCCAAGGTTCTTTGGGAATCTTCAGTGTTTTCACTGTAGTGAGGATTTTAAAAATCACATGACTTGGTTTTCTCTTTCATTAATTTTGTCTTTCATTTTGAAGTATGAAGACACTTTATTATTTTTCTTTTAATCTTTATTGTTGAAAGTAATACATAGATCCTCCTTTTTCTGAAGACACTTTATTTTATTATTTTTATTCTCTGAAGACACTTTAAAAGCAAGCTTAGAGACAGGTAAATGCACAATATTTGATGACTAGAGTTTATTATATTACTTCTTGAACAAGGAATATTAGCATGATTAAGATTTTATTTTATTATAGCTTGTTGAGTTTTAAAATCCCTTTCTCTCTTGAGAATATAGCATTTGGTCTTAATAATTACATCCTGTTACCAGTATAGAGCTATTTACCTGATGCCATTAAAAATATGAGTGTGTGCAAAAGCCTTTAACTGTGACTTACACAGGATTCAATACTTTTTCTTTCTTTTTAAAAGAAATACAGTTTTATTGATTTCAGAGAGGGAGAGAAAGAGAGAAACATCAATGATGAGAAAGAATCACTCATTGATCGGCTGCCTCCTGCATGTCCCCTACTGGATACGTGCCCTTGGCCAGAATTGAACCCAGGACCCTTCAGTTCACAGGCTGATGCTCTAGCCACTGTGCCAAACTGGCTAGGCGAGTCAAACACTTTTTAATACATAAATTTGACTCAGCATATCAGCATATAATAAGCTTCCAAAGAGAAGTGCCCAAATTTGGATTTGTCTTGACAGGAAAACAAGTGTAGGAAATCCTGAAAGATATGCTCTCTTGAAGACCTAACGTTTGAAACAGTTTTATTTTCATGAATTTCTTTTTGTTTTCTATACCAAAAAGGATTTGCATAACATTATGACTAGGATTTTTTTTTTAATGTATTATATATTTCATATCTTTTTTAAAAACATGATTTATATTGATTTCAGAGAGAGGAAGGGAGAGGGAGAAAGAGACAGAAACATCAATGAGAGAATAATTGATTGGCTGCCTCCTGCAGGCCCCACACTGGGGATCTAGCCCACAACCGGGGACTGTGCCCTGACCGGGAATCAAACCGGTCCTCCTGGATCATAGGTCTACGCTCAACTACTGAGCCACACCGACCGGGCTAGGTTTTATAACATGTCATGCTTATCAGTGGTTCCCAAACTTAACTCACAATGGAATTACCTTGAGAGCTTAAAAACATACTTGTACCTGTGTCCCACTCCCAGCAATTGTGATTTAATTCGTTTAAAATGTAACGTAAGTATTGGAATTTTTATAATGTTGTAGAACCAGCTGTTATATTTTGGAAATTTGAACCTATTAAAGACTGCTGGTGGGTTCTCTACATCCAGATTTTTGTGTGACCAGCTTAAGTGCTGGTACATACAAAAAATTGTCCCTGCCGGGACCGGTTTGGCTCAGTGGATAGAGTGTCGGCTTCGATTCCAGTCAAGGGCATGTACTGTGGTTGCGGACATGTCCCCAGTGGGTGGTGTGCAAGAGGCAGCTGATCCATGATTCTCTCTCATCGATGTTTCTAACTATCCCTCTCTCTTCCTCTCTGTGAAAAAATCAATAAAATATATATATTTTTAAAATTTGTCCCTGCCCCACAACCTTTCCACCAACAACACCTGAAGTCTCAATCCTTGAGTGCTTCCTGTGTGCTAGACGCTGAGAGGTGGTGTAGGAGGAAAAGGTCCCTGTTCGTGGGCCGAACGTTCTGGTGGGAGAGCCAGGCGTCTGTCGTGTCGGGGAGGGAAGCCCAGCACAGAGGGGACTGGGAAGTGAGGCAGATACAGGGGAGGGAGGAGGAGGACGAGCCCCTGGGTTTGAGTTGAGTAGAGCATTTGACTGGAAGGGGCTGGGAAATGTGGGCTGTTGGAAGCCAGGGTAGGAAATTTGGAAAGCATTCACATTCTTTAAAGATCACTCTGGATACAACACAGACAATTTATTGCAGGGAGCCTGCTGATGGGGGATTCTGGGGACTCGAGCCTTGCACCAAAAATATTGCTGACTTAGGGTAGAGGGAGTGCTGAGTGGTGGGGTTTGGCCTGTGTGCCAAGGTACAGCCATCAGGAGGCCTCTGGCCCGTGGAGCTGGGGGCTGATGTCGGGGCAGGGACAGAAGATAAAACATTTCTGAGTTAGCCTGTGAAATCACTCCTGTAAGTAGAGTAGTGCTGCTCAAATTTTAACCCGCCTCTGAGTCACCTGTGTTTTTAGCTGCAGACTGATTCTGGAGGTCTGGCGTGGGGCCTGAGATGCTACACGTCTCCCAGCCCCTGTGGGAGCTGATGCTGCTGGTGCAGAGACCCAGATTTGGGGCAGCAACCATGTAGATCCAGAAAGCGGGGGAAGGGAGCTTGTGGTACCACAGCATTTAATATGGGGAGGAGCCCGCCAGCGTGGCTCTGGTTGAGCATCCACCTATGAACTAGAAGGTCATGGTTAAATTCTTGCTTATGGCCCATGCCTGGGTTGCAGGCTCAATCCCCAGTGTGGGGCATACAGGAGGCAGCCAATCAATAACATTCTCATCATTGATGTTTCCATCTCCCCCCTCTCCCTTCTTGAAATCAATAAAACTATATTTAAAAATAAAACAGGGAGGAGCCAGCCAAGGAGACTGAGATCTCTCAGGGAGGCAAGCCAGAAAAATATAGCACATCAGAAACAAAAGTGAGCCCAGCCGGTGTGGCTCAGTGGTTGAGTATTGACCTATGAACCAGGAGGTCACAGGTTCAATTCCTGGTCCTGGCACATGCCCAGGTTGTGGGCTTGATCCCTGAGGCAGCCAATCAATGATTCTCATAACTGATGTTTCCCTCTCTCTGAAATCAATAAAAAAAATATATTTTTAAAAGAAACAAAAACGAAGGAAATTTCAAGAAGCGTGATTTCAGGTTTTGTCCAGTAAGAAGAGGATTGCGAATTAACCATGAGATTGGCGGATTGTTACGTTTAACAGAATGCAAGTTTAGGGGATGAAGGACTGCACTGGAGAGAAAGGGAGTGAAGTAGAGTCAGCACATGGACAACTCAAGTTTTCATGTACAGGGAGGGAGGGATACATGGATAGCTGAGCTAAGGGAAGGCTTTAATTTGTAAGGAGATGAGACAGACCACATGAGCATATGCGGACTGGAATATTGCCTCAGAAGGGGACAGGTGCGTGTAGTAGGGAGGAGTGGATTATTGTAGGAATGAAATCTGAGAGGCAGACCAGAAGTGAGAAGTAGGACTCAGCAGTCTCACTAGGCACAGGGTCACTTCCAGTTCATGTGTCAAAAAGGAAGGCGGCGCTTTTGCTCACTTATTTAAATATTTATTAC